ATGGTCTGAACTATAAAAATGTTGCCAAGGGCACTTGAATCTGTGTGACTTATATTTACACCCCGAAAGAACATCTCTGTGACCTAATATTTACACCGTGAAAGGACATATCTGTGACTATTATTCACACCGTGAAAGGACATCTCTGTGACTATTATTTACTCGAGATTATTTACACCGTGAATGGACATCTCTGTGACTATTATTTACTCGAGATTATTTACACCGTGAAAGGACATCTCTGTGACTATTATTTACTCGATATTATTTACATCGTGAAAGGACATTTCTGTGACTATTATTTACTAGAGATTATTTACACCGTGAAAGGACATCTCTGTGACTATTATTTACTCGATATTATTTACACCGTGAAAGGACATATCTGTGACTATTATTTACACCGTGAAAGGACATATCTGTGACTATCATTTATTCGAGATTATTTACACCGTGAAAGGACATCTCTGTGACTATTATTTACTCGAGATTATTTACACCGTGACTGTGACTATTATTTATTCGAGATTATTTACACCGTGAAAGGACATCTCTGTGACTATTATTTACACCGTGAAAGGAATCAACTTAGTAAATAGTGTCTCCCTGACATACGTTAAGTATTAGGCAGGGGCAGATGTATGTTTCTAATTAAAAAAATGCCCGAGATGGAAAATGGAAAATTAGAATTATCGCATTTTTCATAGATCCTAGTTTACAATTCTCCATTAGCACCAATTAGGATTAATCTAGATATCAACCTTGACATCTTTTTGCTGTTGTACCCTGATTTTCACGTTCAGTGTATCAACGATGCGGGGACTCTATAGTTTTTACTTTGTTCGTCCGTTTGGTCGTCTGTCCATCCGTCCGTCTGTCGGTCTGCAATGTTGTAACCTGTGTCATTGCTTTATCTGTCAGCGGCATGGGCACTAATTTTGAATACGTTCCAATTGTTGTAACCAAAGTCCCATACTTTTTTCCTCGAATGTGACCCACCGAATTAGATATATCACCGGGTTATTACTTACATGAGCAACAGGACGGTCCCACATGTTGAACATGATCTGCTTACCCTTCTGGAGCACCTGAGATCACTTCCCGGCTTTTGGTGGGGTTCGTGTTGCTAAGTCTTTAGTTTGTTTCTATGTTGTGTTTTTTAGACCATTGTTTGCCTTTTTGTCGTTTTTCGTTGTGTTTTTTTTGGGGGGGGGGGGGGGGGGGGTTGCCATATGGCGCTGTCAGTTCGTTTTCGACTTATGACTGGCATTTGGTATCTTTCGCATCTTCTCTCTCTCCTCCTTAGCTCCTTTAGAATTTATTGATACTTTCTCTAAATCTTAACCATATACATGTAAGGTCATTTTTCATCTCCTATTTTATGTTTATCCGTCGGAAATTGTTTGGTTTCCCGCACCAACTGACTCAACTCATCGGGACTTTGTCATGATTGCCATTGCTTTATCTTTAAGGGTACTCAGTTTGTATCTTAACCCCTTATTACAAATTATACAAAATTTCGCAGAAACGTAACCATGCAATGCAATTGTTCACAGCCTATTATATGTTTTTCGATTCTAGTCAGTATTGTTATTTGTTGGGTTTTCAGGCCTTATCAAATCTGACGGTATTGTTTTTTTTTTGTTAGATCGCAATACCTTTAGTTTTCAGTGTATTTAATTTTTATAACCTCTTTGCAATATTCAATTTGTTATTTACTTTCTAGTCTGCTTTCTGGGAATACAATATTGACAGTATAATAGTCCCCAGCCTGCTCTTAATAGGTTGGATTATGCTTCAAACCTGGGAATATAATCTTTTTTTGCCATGGCGATGTCTGTTTATTTTCGACTTATGAGTTTGAATGCCTCTTTCGCCTCTCTTTAACAACCACTGAGTCCATGTATCTGCTGGTGGACATTTTGTCCCCGGGGACACCATCAGCCCAGCAGCATACTATGCATGAAATTACAAAGATCAAATAGAATACTGGCTTGGAAGTTGCCCAGTATAAAAGATCCGAAAAAGACGCCACCATGAACACGGTGTCGTCTGAAATTGCAGGTGTCCCCTTATCACCAGACATGACAAATACCTACGGAATATGGCACATTTAGATCATCATACTAATGACATTAACAATAATCTTCTTACGCGGGCCGTGTTCAGTTTTTTCTACGAGACATTTTGGACTTGAATTACTCTCAACAACACTGTCTCATTTCTAAATGTAAAGGCAAAAACTGAAAAACCTGTAAAATGTTAATAACAGATGCTCAATTTACTTGCAATTAAACCAAAATAATTTGACTTTACTAGAAGCTACGCTGATCTAGATTGTAACTTCAACAAATCTCATCTACGGATTAGAATAAAGTAAAATAACAAAAATACCGAACTCTATGGAAAATTCAAAACGGAAAGTCCCTAATCAAATGGCAAAATCAAAAGCTCAAACACATCATACATATTAGAGTGTAACCTTTGCGGATTGGTATGTGTCGGTGAAACGAAAGGAAGGCTTATTCAATCCTTTCTATGAAAGTTCGCATCATCGAAAAAATATACCACATGACTAACAATCCTCATCTTGCAATACCTCTCCGCACACAAATGGAAGATTTCTGTATTCCAGATTTGGGACTTGAACTGAGACGTACACCATATGGCTGCAATGCATCAAATTCGCACTATGCTTTATTCACTACCCCTTTCAAAACTCTATACTCTGTACAACTTACGTTTGAAAACCACTGTTACAACCCCCCCCCCCCCCCCCCCCCCCCCCTTCAAACCAATATAAACTTATACCAGCTATCATCTCGGATGTTGCCAGTCATAGACTTTTCAAACCAGTTAAATTCGCATTGGAAAAGATGAAAAGGAGAAAAGATCCTTTCTTCTTCTTCTTCTTCCAAATACTGCCCACATTCAACATGATGAATATTCTGGCAAGTTGCGCATGATTAAAAACAGGTTAAAAACAGGATAAAAACAAATTGTTCTGTTGATTTAGTTCGTGGTTTTGGTGACTTGAGACTTGAATATCTCAAGAGACTTTGCTGTGGCGGTATCTGGTGGCAGTTTGTTCCAATCCTTGACGGTGTTTATGAAGAAGGACCATTTCCTACAGTCTTTGGTGGCTGGCTGTAATAGGTAAGTATGTTGTCCTGTCCGGTTTGAGCTTCTTGTTGGTTTTTGTAGATATTTATTCTTGTCTATGGCTACAAGGTCGTTTGTTATTTTGTAACACATGATGAGTCGTGTTTCTTTTCGTCTTGTTTGTAAGCTTTTCCATCCTAATTCATTTATCATGTTGCTGACACTTGATCTATTTCTATGTCTGCTGGTTACATATCGTGCAGCTCTTCTTTGTACCTTTTCAATTTTATCTATGTGGTTTTGCTGGTACGGGTCCCATACTGTCGTGGCGTATTCCATTTGCGGTCTTACTAATATTTTATAGGCATGCTCTTTGATGGATTTTGAGCTAATGTGGAGGTTTCGATGTAGGAAACCAAGGCTTCGGCTGGTTTTTCCTGTGATGTTGTTTATATGTTCTCCCCAATCTAGATCATTTGCGATGGTGCAGCCTAGGTATTTAGTTGATGTTTCATGCACCAGAGTATGGCCGTGGAGTTTATAGTCCCACTTGGTTGGCTTTTTCTTTTTTGTAACTGTGAGGACACTACATTTTTCAGGATGGAACTCCATTTTCCAGAGTTCTTCCCATTTTGCCAGTTTGTCCAGGTCTTCTTGGAGTTTATGGCAGTCGCTGTCTGATGAAATTGTCAAATAGACCACAGTATCGTCCGCAAACAGTCTCACTGTGGAGTGTAAGCCTTCTGGTAGGTCGTTGATGTAAAACAGAAAAAGCCTGACTGGGTCCTAATACTGATCCTTGCGGTACTCCGGATTCTACTTTTACTTTGTCAGATGTTTCGCCTTCAACAACTACTACCTGGGTTCTATTGGTGAGAAATTCCTTTATCCATTTGTTTGTTTTACTTCGGATGCCATAATGGTGTAATTTATGGAGGAGTAAGCTGTGGGACACCTTATCAAAAGCTTTTGAAAAGTCAAGTATTAGCAGATCTGATTGTTTTCCGTTTTCCAGGTTTTTTGTGATGTCATCGATACATTCAAGGAGTTGTGTTTCGCATGATCTTTTACTTCTGAAGCCGTGTTGTAATGGGTATAGTATGTTATTTACCTCTGCATGTTTCATGATGTTACTGGTGACTATGTGTTCTATTATTTTGCAGCAAATACATGTTAGGGATATTGGCCTATAGTTAGCTGCTATGTATTTCTGGCCTTTCTTATATGCCGGAGTGACATTTGCAGTTCGCCAGTCATCGGGTATCTCAAAGTTTCCTTTCTCCATTGAAAAATTGTATATGATGGTTAAGATTGGAGCAATTTCACTGGCTAGTTCTTTCAAAATCATTGGCTTGATGTTGTCTGGTCCAGCAGCCTTGTGTGGTTTTAGATTTTTCAGCTGTTTTTCCACTCCATTAATTGTGATGATTATTTGTTCGCTGTCTGGATAATTTTCTGGTAGATCTGAAACTTTTCTTTGACAACAAAGGTCTCGATGACACCAACTTAGGCAATATTTGTTCCCATTATTCTCTATTCTGTAAACCAGAGACATATATCTGTGTTAAGTAAAACCCATATTATCCACTACAGCGAAGGAAGATCCAATATTCTTCATCCAGTTTGGTTGAAATTCCAAAGGAACATATAACAGACCTATGATCATCCAGGATTTTCTCCTTGGTAAGTGTCGTGGGGTATATTTTGAGTTTCCAAGTGAATTTGCAATATCTAATTCATTTATCAAGCAGTTTATGTAATGTTGTCCGATGTTCTTTTAAAAAAAAGTTCAGATGCACTCTCTGGGAAAAGGGGAATAACTCCGATCCACTAAGGGAGCGTAAAAAAATAGTATCGTCAGTTTAATTGCATAAATGTAGTTCAAAATTATTCTTTTATTCAATGTAAGAAGCCACATTATACAGATGGAGAATATTGCAGAAATCTTGCACTTTTCTGCATTTTAATATTCCTCCTAAACCGGAAATGTTGGAAACAAGTTTCTGCGTGCGCAGTTTGCATTGATCATCTGTACAGACACAGATAAAATATCCAAGATTTTAGTCTCCGAATATTATCCAGAAAATACACAAATTTTCCTATTTTTTAGTCACAACTGGATGTAGTAGGTAAAGAAGGTTTATTTAAACATATATTTGATGGAAAGGTCAGATTTCATCAGGTTTCCTGCTTACACACAGATCACACCACAAAAACAACGGTGAACACTGAAAAATCCAGCACAATATTCACAGACTGTAGGTGAAACACCGTTTAACTCATTCAGCTTTGAACACTTTTGAGTTGCTGTATGCATTATATTTGTCCAGGTGGGTAAATATTTATGTAAAATTCCAAATTGACAATGATTGCAAACACTGTCCCTCAACATGCTCATTTTGTTGTATGTTTCCCTCTCAACCAAATCTTTACCAATGGCAGTAATCTATATAACAAAGCAAACCATAGCAAAGATCAGATCAAGAAGTGATTCACCAGCACATCTTATACTCGTATTTCTTGTTCTATCCAATCAGGCAATCTGTAAAACCACCTAGGTAATTTTGTGGTAGAGTGCTTGAGGTACAGTAGTGTCTGGTAATTTGACACATCTGGTAAACCCGCCCACTCCCATTTACTTCTGTAATTTTCACATACGTGAATATAATTCGTCGGCTATTTTATTCATAAGAACTGTACTTATCATCACTGCATGTTAAATTTTAAAGAAAAATACTTATTACGAAAATATCTAGTGATATACATGTATATAACACAGTTCCTAAAGCTAACGATAATCATATTATTGCTTACAAAACTCATTTCTGACTTTTTTTTTATTATCTGGAATCCCTTTGTAAGTGGTCTATTGATAAATAGATCACCTTTTCCTTTCATATATTTGTTATAATCTGGCCCTCCATACATATTTACTGCGCATGGGCGGATTTACCAGACACACACATTTCGATAAAAACATGGATGACCCACTTGTTTTGTTGATTTTAAAATTTATTTCAGATATTTTTTGGGAAATGAGATAAAATACTCAAAGTTGATTTTTCAGTGAATTGATTTACATTAAATTTTATACAATTTGTATATAATTAAGCAGAAATACAAACGATCAAAGCCTTATGTGGGCGGATTTACCGAACTGCATCGTAAATAAATAAATAAGCTTTATTTAGAGTCGGCATAGTATACAAATAAGGACATAACATCCAACAAGTTTAAACGGAATAGGTGTCAGGTTCCATCTCAATTAAATTCAAAGGAAAAGTATAAATTTGTTTTTTCCAGCTTTTTCGCTACACACTTGGCATTTAGGATTAAAAGCTAATAATGGATAGCTCAGTCAAAATAATGTGTCCCAGTTAAGTGACATGTCTATGACTCATTTTCTTCTTGAGGACCTTTGAACCAGCAGTGTAAAAAGTAAGTTTTGCAGTCGCATATTTCATATTATTATAACTGAATCCAGGTCCGTTTGCCCTGATTGACATTCGCCCTGGGTCAGTTTGCCCCAATCTTTATTTTAATTTGTTGTCTTTTTGTATAATGTAAATTATTTAAATAAAGTATGTGAAAGTTTAAAATTTTTCTGAATATTTATGTTTTAACTTTTGTGGCTACCAGATAATTATTTTTACTTTGATTTGCACTGAGGTGTACTGGAATACAAGGAATTTAATATAAAACAGCTGAAAACCAAGTTATCTATATGTATTTATCTTTATTGGTACATTTTAATAATTTTGAAACAATCATTTTAAAACAGTTGTACATGTAACAAGATCCAACTCCAACTTTAATAGTCATTTGCATCACACTCCCCATCACACGACAGTTATGTCCCATCTCTGTTATTTTAAAGAGCACTGAATTGACATATTCTATAAAAAAAATAAATTCTCAAATGTCGCAATCACACAGCCATTCACTCTATACATTTACAAACCATGATTTACAAATGTACCTGGGATAATATATTTAGAAGCTGCGAAAAACTTTCCTTTCATGTCTTACAATTTCGGATACAACATTGTTTTTACTCATTCCAAGCTGTGTTGTTTATTTAAAAAAAAAATCCTTTTATTAATTATCCACCATAGACAATTGATACAATATAATAAATTATCAACCAGGATATGTATTGTTATAATTGCCACCAGCCATCCATCCATTTAATGTTCTTAAATAATACAATTCAATCTTCACAATGTATCACAAGGCCAGTAAAATTTTCAAGAAAAGTGGCCTCTCAAGCCATATAGATTAATAAAAAATTTATGAAAGAGATTGTAAGTCAAAAAGCTTTTCATGCAGTTATTATTACAAAAAATAAATCAACTTCTATTTGTGTGAATTTTGAATTCAATAAAAGATCATAATGTTGACTATCAATGAGGTAATGGAAAGAAAGTTTCAGGATTTATTTATGAATCCACTTTTTGTCTTGTCTTGACAGAGTCAAAAGGTGAGACTTAAGTAAAGGATGCTATTTTCCACGACTGCATCAAGAATTTAATTAAGTCTAGGATTAGGTCTGACAGCATGGTCAGATTAAGGGTAACTGCTACTAGTAAATCACTGATATTTGGTATGCACGCACCGTTGTTGAATCATTGGCATGTCTCATTTGTCTTGGAGATTATTTGGCCCTGCTTCTTCAGTCACTGTCTATTGACTATAAAACTTTTGCATAATTTACATTTAGGTCAGTTAAAAGCAACCTTTTTTCTGGTTTCTTGGTCATTATTGTTAAAATGATGAAGAAACTTTGAATTCCACTGATGCATACAAATTTAATTGTGAAAGCTTCAATTATAATTGTTTTTTCTTCTTTTTCTGAAGAAATTTCTATAGTGGACAGTCATGACAGTATTATTGTTAAAATGTTTTATTTATCATCATTTTTTATGATTCACTAAACTGTGATGTCAAACCTCCAGTTTCAGGGAAGACTGAAAAGGTTTAAACTACATTTGTATTATGGAAATGTATATGTGGGAGCTGTTCATGTTGAATCGCCTGGCTTCTATCTTAACTTATTATATAAAAAGGGACACTCTCAGAAAGGAGGTTGCAAGAGTCAAATGCACGATGTGTTGTCATTTATCATGTCTTAATGTGCTATTTTTAATTAATTTAAATATATAATTGTTTTTTCATATGAAATTGTAATAATTTGCCAAAATTAAATGTTTTATTTTAATTCGCTTTAATCATCTCTCAACATTAACCATTCAGTATTGCTTTGCATCCAGTCGTCTAATGGTACCGTAGATACTCGCCTAATAGTCGATCCTACTATAAGTCGGGGGCCCTTTTCAGCTCCAAATTCTAAGGATTTAGTCTTGACCCTCGTATAAGTCGGACAAAATTTGGGCATTTTTTTTCAGCTGACAGTAACTGAACGCCGGTAAAACCAATGCAAATCCAGGAATAATATTCATTTCTGCATTAATGTTTGTTTGGTTTGAATTTAGTTGATGCTCATCATGATAATTTATATTGCTGTTAATAATAAAGATGTATTCATTTCTCTTGTTTTGTTCACTGTTCAAATGTTAGATTAGCCATGTGTTGTTTACATAATGCATCAATGATTTTGTAGGGTATGACTAATAACCTATTGTTTGAGAAAAGCGAATATAAACCAAGTCTAGGTTAGTCTATGGAAAGGTATATACTATGAAATTTAGAGCGAGGGGCTTGCCCCGAGCTCTTAATTTCATAGTATATACCTTTCCATAGACTATCCAATTTAGCACATATTTACAACTCGAGGTCTATTGATAGTTTATTTTGGCTGACTACTTGTATCACAGGTGTTTGTAAAACGGAGCTCATTAACGAATTTTGTAAATCTACTCACTAGTATCATTGTAAAATATGTGATTTCAAAAGGCCCTTCACTCCAGAATGAAAAGATGGTAGCTGCTGGTGTAAGTATGTATACTGATATAAAGCGGTGTTTTACTATACATGTTCTTCTTACAAGGTAAGATGACAAAATAAATTCACCAAAAGCAGGCAATAATTAAATTGCAGTGGAAGCTTTACATGTTTTGAAAAAATTTTTTAATTTCACAGTAAAACTAAAGCTATAATAAATTTGAAACATATAGATAGTTTGTCCCCAAAGATATAGTCTAGCAGATAGGCATTAAAAAGCAACTACAAATAGATCAGAGATTATAGGTTTTGTGTTTTTTTTTATTAGTTCAAAGTAAAAAACTAAAAGATTTATCAGAATATGTTTATATATATATATAGGTGGCACATTATCTTCAGACATAATCACAGTTTTTCAATTCATGACATCGTCCTGAACATGCATGAAATATTTGCCATTGGACATTAAGCAACCAATAATCAATAAATCAATCAATTCATGACGTAATAGATCACTTTCCTGAAGAAAGTTTAAAAAATTATCACCAAGTTGCTTTAATTTTCCTTCACAAGGTTTCATACTACACACTTTTCTGTGTACAAAGTAATTGCATGGATGCTACATTATCATAATTTTAAGATATCGTTGTACTCTAATCAAGGTATAAAGAACCATATGTATTACCCTTTATTTAAATGATAAAATTTGCAATTGTCAAAAACATTTTTTAGATCCAAAGATTTTAATAGCAGGATATTTAAAAATCAATGTGAAAATTAATTACAAACTATTTAATTTAATTTGGAACACAGCATTTTATTTCAAAATAGCGAGTGGGAATTTTTGTTTTAAATATCTTGATTACGATACAATGAAATCTTACCCTTGTGGTCATTCATGCGTAGTTACTTAGTACACAGGAAAAGTATGTACTATGAAAATTAGAAGGCAAATATAAGCAATTTGATTGGACGAGAAGTTGTAAGTATGTGCTAATATGAACCTGAAAAATTTAAAGTCAATCAACACTTGATGAAAATATTTTTCACAGCATACATAACTTGGTGTTAAATGAGCTATACACTTCATAATTCTTATTATATTGTGATGATTAAAGGATTAAAAAAATTAAGTGAAGCTAATCAATATATTAAAATAACTAACTCCAACTCATTAGTGTCATCTGTTTACCTATCACTGATAGTTTTCACACCTTTAGTAAATACA